ATATAATTTTTTTACATCTATATTAAACATATATGGTGTAAACTGTTTACGTCTATATCACACAATTGCCAATAACTAACAATTTTATGTACGGAGTCGTAATTGTGCAAAATCATTTGCACAAAAAATCTAGTTGTAAGGTGCATGATAGCTTAAGAGATCCTTGATACCACTTAAGCGATTCCTCTCTGTTTCGCTAGGTCGATTAAGTGATCGTATATCATTTACGCCATCATGTGATGGGTAGATTAAAAATATGTTCTAAGGTGCATGATCTCTTAAGCGATCACAAATGATCGCTTAAGCGATTACGCTCTTTTTTGCTTGGTCGATTAAGCGATCATGTGATGGGCAGATTAAAAATCCGTTCTAAGGTGCATGATCTCTTAAGTGATCACACATGATCGCTTAAGCGATTATGCTCTTTTTTGCTTGGTCGATTAAGCGATCTTCATCGCTTAAGCGATCATGTGATAGGCAGATTCAAAATCTGTTCTAAGGTGCATGATCTCTTAAGCGATCACACATGATGGCTTAAGCGATTTTGCTCTTTTTCCCTTGGTCGATTAAGCGATCTTCATCGCTTAAGCGATCATGTGATGGGCAGATTCAAAATCTGTTCTAAGGTGCATGATCTCTTAAGCGATCACACATGATGGCTTAAGCGATTTTGCTCTTTTTCCCTTGGTCGATTAAGCGATCTTCATCGCTTAAGCGATCATGTGATGGGCAGATTCAAAATCTGTTCTAAGGTGCATGATCTCTTAAGCGATCACACATGATCGCTTAAGCGATTTCGCTCTTTTTCCCTTGGTCGATTAAGCGATCTTCATCGCTTAAGCGATCATGTGATGGGCAGATTAAAAATCTGTTCTAAGGTGCATGATTTCTTAAGCGATCCATCATGATCGCTTAAGCGATTTCGCTCTTTTTCCCTTGGTCGATTAAGCGATCTTCATCGCTTAATCGATCATGTTATAGGCAGATTCAAATATGTTTTAAGGTGCATGATCGCTTAAGCGATCTGTGATATTGCTAAAGCTATTCCTGTCTTTTTTGCCTGGTCGATTAAGCGATATTGGATCGCTTAAGCGATCATGTGATGGGCAGATTCAATCAGCCCAATGGCATGATCGCTTAAGCGATCCGTTTTATCGCTAAAGCGATTCCTCCCTTTTTCGCTTGGTCGCTTAAGCAATCATGTGATGGGAAAATAGTCGGTTTTAAGGTGCATGATCGCTTAAGCGATGAGTCATATCGCTTAAGCGATCTTGTATGAACAACCTTTTGTCGCTTAAGCGATACACTTAGTCGCTTAAGCGAGCATGGGCAATACATACTTTTCCATCTTTTCTCCTGAATTTTGACAAACTAAAATTACCAACACGTATTAATTCCATACTTTCTCCTCAATTTTACAACCTAATTCCAAACTAAAATCAACAATAAATATTTAGGCCATGTAACAAGAAATATAAGGAGTGATTTATTAAAGGTAACAATGAAATTTATAACATCAATAATTGAAAACAATAACTCATCAACGGTTGGCCTTGGCAACTCTCTGAATTTCATCCTTCTTTGAACCTAATTTTCTGGATCTGCATGTGATTGCTTTTGGCAACTGCTTCTCTTGTGGCCAGGTTGCTTGCAAATTGAGCACTTGTTCATCTTCCGGGGAACCTCAAAGGCTTATGGAATACGCTTAACTCTTTTTCTCCTCTTTGCTGTCTTCTTGAATGGCGGGTGGATGATAATGTTAGCCACCTCTGGCGGCACTACCCACTGCTCTTCTGGAGGCACCGGATATATCATTTCTGAATAAGCTAGCATGTAGTGATCTGTCATATAGAGAGGGGAGCAAAGTTCCATGTGGACAAGGTAAACGTTGAATGTCAAACACTTTACAGCTGCAAGTTTTTCTAACAAGGTTAACTAGAGCATCCGGACCATAGCCGCGCACAGTGAACTCTTGAGCATTAAGAGGACAGGCAAATAGTACATTTGATAGTTCCATACGTTCTCGCAATAATTTTTTAGCTGACAGAACAAGGGTTGTAGTAAAATTGTACGACGCTCATGGAACTACCACGACAGTGTCCTTTGGATTGCATCAAAAAGTGCAACTATTGGAAACTCTCTTTCTATTAACAACTTCGAATTTATAGACTCGGCTATGTTCATGGTCATGACATCAAACCTTCTTCTAAGAAAGTAAGCTCTACTCCATCGCTCGAAACCAACGTCATGCTCAAAATACTTAGCAACTCTATCATCCTTGATTCGGATTTGCTGGAACTGCTCCTCGAACGCATCAACCCGATAAGCTTTTGTTGCCATGTAGTATGTCTGAAGGAGGCCAGCACACTTAAACTTTTGTTTTATGTTCTCACCAAGGTGCCTCATACAGAATCCGTGATGTGCTTGACGGTAAATAGTGGCAATCCCCTTCTTTGTAGAGTTATGCCTATCGGATATTATGCACAACTCGTCAGTGTCAGGCATTATCGTACGTAACTGTTGAAAAAACCAAGTCACGACTCGTCATTCTCAGAGTCAACCACACACCATGCAACAGGATATGTGTGATTCTCGCTGTCCTGTGCAGTGGCCACCAATAATGTACCTCCATACTTTCCCGTCAGAAAGCAACCATCAACAGCCAACACCTTTCTCATGTTTACAAAACCCCTTATAGCAGAACCATAAGCAACAAAAAAATATTTAAACATCATATTCCTGTCCCACTTCAAAGCCGTCTTGCTACCTTGGTTTGTCAACTCAAGCATATAACGGTACGCTTCTAATACTGCGTACCCATGCTCCGGCGTGCCCCTCACAAAATCTTGTGCATGTTGTCTCCCTTTCCAGCATTTCCAGTAACTAACAGCACATCCCAACTCTGTGCGCACAAGTCTCTGAATGTCTTTAGGAGATGGACCTTTCCCTTCAACGAACCGACTTTTGACAAATTGTCCAATAACATCAGTGGACGCTTTTCGATGCTCACCTAAAATATGTCCCAAACCACAAGTGTGCTCACGAGTATATGTGCTAAGCATAAATTTTTCCGACTCCGTCAACCTTCTACAATAAATGCGCCACTTGCACTTTCGGTCACGACATGCAACCGTCATACCGAATGAATTTGACTTTTTGGTGATGAACTCAAAATTACCTCTCACGACAACAAGTTTTAGCTTCCTCACCACTTCCTCTTTGTTGTCAAATAAATATCCTATGTGCAAATCTGATCCATCCGTAAAAACATGAGCTGATTCACTACTACCTCCAATTGCCCTCTCTGAACCTGCATAAATGACCATGGTGTTCTCTTCCTCACAATCTACGCCTTCTGCATAATCTGTATTTAAAAGAATCTCTACATATGTGGGAACATCTATGGGGTCCTCCTCCTCAACATTTTCATTCTGCCCCCCATCACTAACTTCTTCTACAGTCTCCTCCTCACCACCCAATTCATCATCTACTCTTGATTTTTCAACTAACAAATCAATGGCCTCATTGTTCAAATTAAAACCAGGCAAATCTCCGCCTATTTCCTCGTTATCCCCTTTCTTTGAACCAACTTCGAACGGTTTTTCTACAAGAGAAACCCTTAAAATCGGCCTCGAACCATTATCGGTCACATCAATCATATATAACTTCACACTTTTATCCGACTTTAATATAATAGGAGGTACCTTATAATGTTCAGGAACTTTGCTTAAAACATACTTCACAACTATATCACTACGCGAGCAACTCAAATTACCTCTTCTAATTATTTCATCAATCAACTCATCAAAAGTAACTTTTGTGCTCACATCAATTGGTATAGCTTCTTTGCTCTTCCCATTCCACTGCCAGCTACATCCTTCCTCCACCCACTCACCAAAATATTCAACACCCAAAACAACTTGTCCCATGTGTAATAATAGCCAACTACCTGTAATGCAAGAAAAAAACAATTCTTAAATTCTGTACTAAATGTTCAAATATTTTAAAAAGAATCTGCACAGTCGCTTATATGGTCTGTTGTATCGCTTAAGCGATCTTATGCCATTTACTGATCGCTTAAGCGATCTGCTCCTATACACCAGACTTTTACTAGATCGCTTAAGCGATCTATCTGCTGTATTACCAGACCTACCAAATCGCTTAAGCGATACACCAGATCGCTTAAGCGATCCATCATACCCAGAACACATTTTCAGTCATCTCCACCTACAATCGATTCCATCATACCTAGAGAACACATACTCAGAACAAATTTTCAACAAATTTCACTCCTTTCAACTTGCATTACATTAAACACAACCCAACAACCTAAATAACTAAATCAAAATCATAACCCAAACCCCATCCATTATTAAATCTTTGTAAATCTAAATATAAAATGTAAAAAAGAGATACACATACTTAGAGGAAATGTCAGGAGGACGAGGAGGGGGATCTTTGGCGGAAAAGATGTTAATGGTGGAGGAAGAATAAAGTGTTAATGGCGGAGGACAAGAAGATATAGAGGAAGGAGGATGAAGAAGAAGATGCAGACGAAGCTAAGAAGAAGAGAAGAAGACGCAGAGGTAGAGATGCGTTAATGACAGGAAGGTGTTTGGGTTTGTTTGCAACAATTTCGGGTTTATAGGAATATAGTATAATTTTGAAAAGATTACATAATACTTCATTAATCCTAATTAAGCACTAATTACCCTTAATCAATAATATGATTATTTAGTTAACATTTTAAAACTTGATAACCTTTTAATTAAATACAAACTTGAAATGACCTTTTAATAAACTGCCCCGTGGATTATATCATTAAAAATTTCGATCCAATATATTATTAACATTTATTTTGAGTTTTATTAATTTGGATTGATTTGAGTTTTGTATTGTTTGGATTCTGATTTGTTTAAAGTTTTTGGATCTTGGTTGTTTTAAAATATAGTTAACACATACACATGGGAATTCAACATTCATTTAAAAAAAAAAAAAGAAAAAAAAAAGAGTATAATATCAATTTTATTGTACCTTCTCTGGTTAGTTTTTTCAATAAGTGCATGGATGGTAAAGAATAACATCAATAAAATTATTTCTTAAACAAAGTACTGAACCATCTGAATTTCTTTCTCTTTGAAACCACATTTCTCGTAGAATGCTTTATTGTCAACACTGCAATCAAGAATTACCTTGTAACACCCCATATCATGAGCATGGTTTGTAAGGAATTTGATTATCTTCTTTCCTAATTGCATTCCTCGTGCACCGGCATCAACCTCAACATCTTCAATATGCCCAACTTTTCCACAATTTCTCAGAAACTTTTTTTCAATGAACATACTCCCAGTTGCAATAATTTTCCCAGAATGATCATCCTCAATCACACAAACAATATGGTCATCACCATAGGAACTGAGTTCTTGAAATCGCTCTTCAAATTGCTTGTCAGACACGCAATCACAAACACTTAGTTGTTGCAACAACTCTATGAAACCCTTGCTTTTGTCTGTGATCTCCAATTTCCGGACTTGAAATTTGTTTCCCTCATTGGGTAAGTCAGTGTTCTGCATCCTGGTCAGACCTTAGTTCTCTGCCAAGTAACTAGTAACTGCGATTTGCCAATCTACAAACAAATAGATAGCATTAGATCCGTTAAAAACTTAATTCTCATAAATGATCAAATAATCTATAATACTTAACAAAATCCCAACAAGCAAGCATTTAGTGTACAGGTGAAGCAGCCTTGAAAGTGACTCTACATATCACATATGTAATTCAACAAATTTTATACGGTGTGTTTTATTATTTTAGGTAGGATTTTTGAAAAAGTTGAGTTCAATAGTTATTACGAGGTATAATTTAAAAATTAACAAAAACATTCCCTATATTTGTTAATTTAGCTAAACACCCCTACAATAAAACATTGAAAATTAACAAAAACACCCCCACCCACCCATTAAATGCCGACAGCCGACCACTATCGCTAGAGGGTGACCGGCAGTCTCCATAATGGCGCACGACCGGCAAGATCTGATTGGTCGTGCGCCGATATGGCCTTTTTCGGCCAAATCCACCATGAATCTGGCCGAAAAATGCTAGATCTAACCACATTTGGTTGTCAATGAAGACCATATCTTGGCTGTCGTTGACGATCAGCTACGGCCAAAGGTCTGGCCATCAATGGCCAAATCTTTGACTACGGATCTGGCCTTTTCCGAACATATCCATAGTGAATCTGACCGAAAAAGTCTAGATCGACACACTACCAATCAGATCCAGCCAGTAGTATGCCATTAAGCTAAATTCCAACCACTGTCCGACGGTAATGATCGGAATTTGGCAAATAGGGGGGATGGGGGTGTTTTTATCAATTTTTAAACTTTTTTTTTGGGTATGTAGTTAAATTAACAAACCTATAGGGTTTAAAATTAGTTGAATAAAATAAAATAGTAAAATAAATATGTATTTTAGGTAGAATAGAAAAACAAACACAGCCATAGATATTTATGAAATCGACAGAAACATAAGTATAAACCACTGGTTTCAAAATCTTTCATAAACCTTCTCCGAAATTCTAGAAGTCATTAGAAACCTCCCATAAAATTGGTTTGAAACCTGCCTTGAAATTTTATAAAATTACCCGGTGTAAAATAAAAATTTTCTAAGTGGAAACGAACATTCAAAGATAATTTCATCACTAAAAAGGAGTAAATAAAGTAACGAATGTACACCTAAGAATACATAATTATGTATGAAAACAAAAACTTTTATTTTTCAAAATAAAAGTCATTTGTCTTCAATGCCATTTATCTTCTATACAACTTTTGATGCAAATGCCACAAACAGCTACGCTTCTTCAATTTTTTACAAACAATTAGCTGTCATTTTAATTCTATCAGTTTCTCCATAAGATTTTAATTTCAACTTCATATATAGGATGAAAAGTGATGACTCAAATAAGTGTTATGCTATCCTAGTTCCTATCTATATTAATGATTCAAGGCAAACGCTCCAAAAATTAGAAAGTTATCACTCAAATGGATAGAACATTCAAGAGAAAGTAGAAAATTCATATAGTGGGAACAGGGAAAATCCTCCAACAATCAGAGACAAACAATTTCAAGAGGATAGAAGCTTCATATCACGAAACTACTTAAATAACACGATTAAAACTAATTTCTGCTGTAGCAATTGAAAATAAAAATAGAAAAATCATAGGAAAAACCTTAACATGGTATGGATCTGAATCTTCATCAAAAACCTTTTAACAAAGGATTGCTGCACCTAGCTAACTTCCTCAAACAATCAAAATAAACTTTTATAAAAACTACATAAAATAAAAGTCAACTTGAAAAATATATGAATATGCATCTGCAGCCATGGGAGTGAAGGCTTTTCTTATGAAACGATACTCTAATTACAAGGTTCAGACGATGTAAATGCAACATTTAATTAATGAATGAATTCTGATCGAATTTCCACATAATAGATTTATTTTCTAAAAATTAAAAGTCTTGAGCGCAAACTGAAAACCTTTGGTCTCTCCCAGCTCATAAATATACATTATACCAAATAGATAAATCTAAAATGCAGAGATACAGCACACAGGTATGTTATTACATAATAAATTTTGGGGGGTGACGGTTATGGGTACCCTACATTTTTCGGAGGAAAAAGAACCAGAACCACACAATGCAGGTTCTTAAATTCAAGAAACCGGAACCTAAAATGCAGGTTCCAGTTCCTTTCTCGGGTACCCTGCAAAATATCAATTGCCCCTCTATTAGTTTAAAAAATAACAAAAATACCATAAAAGTTTACAAATACACCCCTAACAAATTATGATTATTCATTCATTTGTGTTCAATGTAACTCATAAACTGTAATCTCTAGGCAACACTTGAATTCAATCAATTCATCATAATTCACATAAAATTCGTCAATCAAAACCAAAACACAAACAATTATTCATCACAATTCACGCCAAATAACTTCAACAAAATCATTTAAACAAACAACAATATATAAAGTTAGAAACTGCCACCAACTTCTTTGATCACTAATTTCAATCACTACAATTATAAAACTACAAAACAACCAAAAAAGCATAATATGACTCATATCTAATACTCCAAATTAGGCGTGGATGTTCCTTCGTCAAGTGATTGACTCATGTCTAGTGCTACGGAAAAAAAATGACAGCTACAGAAAGCATATAGTGCAGTAAGCTACCAAACACGGCAGAAAACCCCATAAAAATTACAATCAATGCCACAAACCAAAAACTCATGCATACATCAGAGTTTCCGTACAGATATCCGAAAATAATCGGAAATAAGACCGTAAATCCTAACGCCCACTTGTTAAACTTCATTTGGAACAAGGAATCTTTGGAGTATAGAAATGTTATTACTAATAATACTAATAATAATAGTAAAGGTTAAAGAAAGGGGAAAAGAAACGTACCGATTAGGACTGTGATTAAGAGAAGAATAGAATCTGTGGAGGAGAAGAAGTAGAATTTAAGGAATTGATTTTTAGCTGTTAAATTGAAATGGAGAGGAGATGGATTACTTGTAGAGTAATTTTAGTCTTACTTATGCGTGGGTTGCGTGATGATGATATATGGAGATGGAGATTGGAGACGGAGGGGTATTTGTGGATTTGCATTGTTTTGTAGTGGAGTTATGTGTCTAGGGTTTTGAGTTGGACAGGTGCTGTTTGGAAAATTTTGTACTGAGAATCATCTTGTTAGAAAGCAGGAATTTGGTGTGGATGAATGAGAGAGGAGATAGATAAATCAAAGTCAAGATCAGAATTGAGAATGGGGGTCATTTGGTAAAAACAAAAAAACGTCGAAGTTTTGAATAGAGAATTTGTCAGATTTTGATTTGTCATACCAATTTATAATTAAAAAATAAAATGAATGGGAATCGGAATGGTGCGGCGGTCGGAAAAGGCAAAGGCGAAGCGCAAACAAACACGGCAATGACCAAGGAGGGGGAGCAGTGGGCGGGGCGCTGGCCCCAAGGGAGACATTCGTGTCAGGCAGGCAGGCGGTCCAAGTTTTGGTATTACAACTTACTTGAAAGTTCTAGAACACGTTTACGTTTTGGAATAGGCTTTCAGTTTCTTCCTCGGAGATAGCCAGGGGCGGACCCACATGAGGTCAGTGGGGTCAAGTGACCCCACTTGGGTTTTATTTTAAAATTTAAAATTTTTTATTAATTTTGTCATCTAAAAAAACGAAATTATAAAATTAAGTAAATTAAATTAATTAAAATTTTAACTTTTTTTAATAGTATCACCTCCCCATTTTTTTTTCTCAATCCTAACTAACTTTTTATCTTGCCCAACGTGTCCCATTCCATCTCTCCAATCCCTACGTTTTTTTAATAATATATTAAAATTTATGCAATCATTTAATTTTGTTTTAGTCTATTTATGATAAAATATTTATTTAGTTATACAAATGAATTTTCTTAAGCACCACAAAAAAAAGATCAAGATATTATAAATGCTATGAATATGGTTGAAGCATATAAGCAAGCTTTATAATTGATGAAGGATAGTAGATGGGAGAATTTACCTAACAAAATTTGTTCTTTTTGTGTCAAACATGACATTGATATTCCAAATATGGATGACAAAATTTTTTTTTATTCAAGGATGATCACAGCGGAAGATTAAAGATATCACAAACGTGCATCGTTACTGTATTAAAGTATTTTACAATGTTCTAGATATACAAACTTCAAGAGTTGAATAATTGTTTCAATGAGATAAACACTGAATTATTTATTGTTTACCATACTTATGTTCAAATGAAAATTTTGTTGCTTTTAATAAGCAAAAATTGACGCGTCTTACTAAACTTTATCTAAAAGATTTTTCTAACTTAGAACTCGTAGCATTTGATTCTCAATTTGATATTTATATTTTGGATATACACTCTAATGTCAAATTTATGGAATTGAATGACATTAGAGATCGATCAATAAGAAAGATAAAGTATTTTCATTAGTTTATCTGTTGATAAAATTAATATTGATTTTAGCGGTTGCCACTATTAATGTAGAGAGAGTATTTTCAACAATGAATGTTGTAAAAAATCGTTTACGAAATAGAATGAGTGATTAAATATTATATAAAAAATGATATATTTGATAATACTAATAATAAAATTATTATACAATATTTTTAAAAGATGAAATCTTATGGAAGATAATTATAAATGTGTTAATTAATATAAATATTTGTATTTATTTATATTTATATTAATTGTTTTTTTAACCTTTCTCCTCCTGAGCTTCATTCCTCGCTCGACCCTGGAGAGAGCCAAGACTAAAAGTCACACGATGGAATCGATGTGGGATTAGTTGTGTCTAAAAGTTTAATGTATGGTCAATATTATGGTATCGATGTGGGATTAGTTCATCATTTTCAAAACTTACTTCATCACAGCTCCAACTCATCCCAATCAAACATAAATTTATTCGTACACCTAGAAAGGAATGGTAAGGGTGGGGCATGAATGTCTACCATAACATAATATGCGTCACCCTCACCTCTTCAACATTCACTCATAAATAAATAATTATTTATATAAATACCTTCCACTAATATGCTTTATCAGTCACTTTGCATTTATTCTTCTGATTTAGACCCATTAATCACTAAGGTTGGTTAATGAATTTTTTCTTTTCTTTTCTGTAATCAAAGTGTTCGGATTAATTTATACACATCTTAACTAATCATCATGAGAGCTTTCATAAACCTTCACTTAAATCGCAAATACTCAAAACGAAAATCAAATCTACACCGTGCATCCTAATTCACCCTAACTGTTTAGGTTATCCAAATAGTAATCTAGCCGAAAGTTTAATTTTACTCAAATTTTGAGAAAAGGAAAAGGAATTTGGCTTTGGCTTTGGCTTTGGCTTTGGAAGGAATATATTCTTTCTTTAATGTAAAGTTTTTGTCTGTGATAAATGGTAAGGTATCAGAATAAAGACAGTAAACAAGTCACAAAGTGGCTCCAATCCAAATACAATACACTGCTATGTCCATATGGTTATTACTTTTAGCTTTGTTAACGCTTGATTTTGGACGCCAACGACTCGCACGTGGGAAACGCTGAGCTGACTCAGGAGACACACGTGATGGATCCATGAGATTTGAATATGGAGCTGAGATTATATATTTTGCAGAAAATATAAATAAAAGATTGGCAAAATGGGTTTTTATAGTGGTTCGGATGCTCAACAAGCGACTCCTACATCCACTGTTATTTTATTGATCTCTCACTATTTCTATGAATTTGCCCGTAAGGCATACAAAGATGAAGAAATACAGTGTTTTTACAGAGAGAAAGAATTGAAGCTAAATCTCAGCCCAGCCACCAGCCTCCCTTCTTCGGAAAGAGAAAAATCCCTTTATTCACATTTGCACTCAATGCAATGAGAGCTTTTGCAAACTGCCTTGACACATGGAAGGCTCTCGTCCATTCATCTCTTTGAAATGAGATAAAGTTGGTGAGAATATCTTTGGAGATATGGGCTTGGCAGCTGGTACAGAGAGACATTAATTGTGCTGACATAGGCTTGACTTTTTGAGGCATAACAGAAGCCCCCCAGTTTTTGAAGTGCGTAATCGCGCTTCAGAAACTAAGTCTTTGATCTGACTGGCTGCGGTCTCGAACTGAAGAGCTCGAACTGAAATCTGTTAGGAAGATGATCAGAAATCTTAGGAAAACGACCAGAAATCTGTTAGGAAAACGACCAGAAATCTGTTAGGAAAACGACCAGAAATCTGTTAGGAGCGACCAGAAATCTGTTAGGAAAACGACCAGAAATCTGGTAGGAGAACGACCTGAAAGGTCATAACGAGCTCAATCTGAGCAAAACGAGCTCAACTTGAGAGCAAAACGACCTCGACCTGAGAGGTCAAAACGAGCTCAAAAAGCAAAACGACCTCAACTTGAGAGGTCAAAACGAGCTCAATGAGCAAAACGACCTCAACTTGAGAGGTCAAAACGAGCTGAATGAGCAAAACGACCTCAACTTGAGAGGTCAAAACGAGCTCAATGAGCAAAACGACCTCAACTTGAGAGGTCAAAACGAGCTCAAATGGCAAAACGACCTCAATTTTAGAGGTCAAAACGAGCTCGACCTGAAAAGGTCAAAACGAGCTCAACCTGAGAGATCATAGCGAGCTCTACCAAAGAGCACAAGAGATCAGCGATCTCAGCGTGTGATCAGCGATCCGAACACGCGATTTGAAGCTAAGGTTCCGCGATCTGAAGCTGAGGATCAGGACGGCATGGGCGCGCGATCTGCGATCTGGCCACGCGATCGGAGAACTCTGATGCATGCGATCTGCGATCTGGCCACGCGATTTGAAGCTAAAGATCCGCGATCTGAAGCTGAGGATCAGGATGGCATGGGCGTGCGATCTGCGATCTGGCCACGCGATCGGAGAACTCTGATGCATGCGATCTGCGATCTGGCCACGCGATTTGAAGCTAAAGATCCGCGATCTGAAGCTGAGGATTAGGATGGCATGGGCGTGCGATCTGCGATCTGGCCACGCGATCGGAGAACTCTGATGCATGCGATCTGCGATCTGGCCACGCGATTTGAAGCTAAAGATCCGCGATCTGAAGCTGAGGATCAGGATGGCATGGGCGTGCGATCTGCGATCTGGCCACGCGATCGGAGAACTCTGATGCATGCGATCTGCGATCTGGCCATGCGATTTGAAGCTAAAGATTCGCGATCTGAAGCTGAGGATCAGGATGGCATGGGCGTGCGATCTGCGATCTGGCCACGCGATCGGAGAACTCTGATGCATGCGATCTGCGATCTGGCCATGCGATTTGAAGCTAAAGATTCGCGATCTGAAGCTGAGGATCAGGATGGCATGGGCGTGCGATCTGCGATCTGGCCACGCGATCGGAGAACTCTGATGCATGCGATCTGCGATCTGGCCACGCGATTTGAAGCTAAAGATCCGCGATCTGAAGCTGAGGATCAGGATGGCATGGGCGTGCGATCTGTGATCTGGCCACGCGATCGGAGAACTCTGATGCGTGCGATCTGTGATCTGGCCACGCGATTAGAGAATTCTGATACGCAATCGAAGAATTCTAACGCGTGCGATCTACGATCTGGCCACGCGATCGGAGAACTCTGACGCGTGCGATCTGGCCACGCGATTGGAGAATTCTAACGTGTGCGATCTGCGATCTGGCCACACGATTGGAGAATTCTGACGCAGGTTTGAGATCTGAGCACGCCATCAGGGAACTTGGATGCAGGCTTGAGAATCGGACCTGCATGGGCCACCAATCTGTTGACGCTTGATTTTGGACGCCAACGACTCGCACGTGGGAAACGCTGAGCTGACTCAGGAGACACACGTGATGGATCCATGAGATTTGAATATGGAGCTGAGATTATATATTTTGCAGAAAATATAAATAAAAGATTGGCAAAATGGGTTTTTATAGTGGTTCGGATGCTCAACAAGCGACTCCTACATCCACTGTTATTTTCTTGATCTCTCACTATTTCTATGAATTTGCCCGTAAGGCATACAAAGATGAAGAAATACAGTGTTTTTACAGAGAGAAAGAATTGAAGCTAAATCTCAGCCCAGCCACCAGCCTCCCTTCTTCGGGAAGAGAAAAATCCCTTTATTCACCTTTGCACTCAATGCAATGAGAGCTTTTGCAAACTGCCTTGACACATGGAAGGCTCTCGTCCATTCATCTCTTTGAAATGAGATAAAGTTGGTGAGAATATCTTTGGAGATATGGGCTTGGCAGCTGGTACAGAGAGACATTAATTGTGCTGACATAGGCTTGACTTTTTGAGGCATAACAAGCTTTTTCTACCTCCCTTGAAACTTTGAATTGAATTCTATATTAGGAAGCAAGTTCTTGACATCATTCTGTGGTGCATTTCCGAGCAAACCAATTTGCTGCAACTGTTGAAAGGCTTACTGGAACGATCCATGGGAGGTGTTATAGTGAAAGCTTCTGGGAAGCTTCTGACCCATTTGTATCAGCTTTCTAAAGAAAGACCAGACGTGGGCTCCACATAAATTGGTATGGCCAGGCCTATTAAGAAAGTCAGACCTACTTAATTTACTATTCTTGGGCGTAGCCTTCCATCCTAATTTTAAAAGGGGAAGGTATTTTTTTATCCTCATATAATTTTTTTTTCATCCCTAATATTATATTTATTTTTTGTTTTGACAAATTTAATCTTATTTTAAATTACTAGAAATACCATTATAATTTTTAAATACATTCATACTATTTTTTTCAACATTTAATTTTATATAAACCTTAACCTCAATTTTTTTTATTATTGAGGATTATATAAACTTATATAAACCCTAACCCATATATATATATATAAATTTTTTAATAACTGAGGTATCCGATCCCACTTACAAGCTAATCATCAAAGTCCTTAAACACCTAACAAACCCATGGGACTAAAGTAACTATACAAAATGTGGTAAGTGATCACTCCCTTACGATTCGAACACAAGATTGGGACGTCAATAACAAGCCAAACGCAAACCATACAACCACAACAGAAGTGGTGTAGAACAAAAAAAAATAATAATAATAATAATTAATTTTGAAATTAGGGAAAATAAACCTAATTAAGTTTAAAGAATTATTTTTAATATTAAATGGTGTTTTAACAGATTTTTTTTTAGTTATAAAAGAGATGTATTTTGTGAAGATCAATTAGATGAGGGCTAAAAATTACTTCCCATTTTAAAATCTCTTCTGTATCCCTCTTAATTACAAAAAATTACTGCATTGATTAGTGAAAATCGTTTGATTAAAATCACATCCCAAACTCAAACACAAAGGGTCTATTTATTTTATTATTTTGGATATGATCTTGGGAATAATATTGGGTAGTTGAATAAGGGAGTATTACGAGGTAAAATTTAAAAATTTATTTAAAAAAAACCCCTAGGTTTGCTAATTTAACTAAACGCCCCAATATATAATTTTTTTTCAAAATGACAAAAACACCTCCACCACCCACAGTGATAGATTCTGGCCACCATCGCCGGAATCTGGCCGAAAAATAGCGTTACGACACAAACTGGTCGGATTCGGCGGGAAGGGCGTCAATATGGGTCAAATCCTTTCATCATCTGTTATCTCAACGAGACCGAGACATAGAAATAGTGTCAACTTCAGTTACTCTCAATATGTATGTATTTAGTTACTGGACCAATGACCGATATTATAAACTGGATAGAGCAACAACTCAATGCCACTGTGGTCACAGTTTTAGAGTCATTGCCATTTACTAAATTGCGCCGTAAGATAACTTATCTCCGTACCCAAGAGTGATGAATCCTCTGTCGATCCACCATAGTCTTGATACACTCCTTGATACAGTCAATCACTACCGTATTGATAGCTTTGAATAAAACTGTGTTTGGCTAGTGTCAAACTGCACCAATCGGTATACAAGGCACTCCGGTGATCTCAAGTTTAAGGATCACATGCACCATCATTCGTTAAATGATTTGTTTCATAGACACTGGGGTTATCATCCATATGGAATCCTCTGGTGGGTCAGTCTAATGAACTTGCCTATAGCAAACACCCATGCGTTGTATCAAGTTGTCATCAAACAACCTTAACAAGTGAGATCAGTCACTGCCTTTCTACAGGGTCGTCAATACTATGATAGTCTTACCGTATTATCTATGTCTTACCGTAGCCCCAGATAATACGGCGAGATTTTATATATATANAAATAAATAAATACGCTTGAACCGCAGAGAAGGGCACAAGAACGAAATGTTATCGCGATCCGTGTATCAACGGCTAACCCCATATTTTGCGTCTCGAATTCGGAAAAATCATCGGCTTCTCAGCTTTATTCAACCTCCTTCTTTAGAAGATATTCACATGACTGATAGTTGCATCAAAGTATGCTCTTTTTTTTTTTCTGGCTTTTTTAGTTTTCAATTTGTTTTTAATTCACTTGATTCAATTATTTGTATTCTAATTATCTATCTCTGATATTTTTGAATGCGTTGTTTGCAGAGAATGAAAGAATTACAGGCCACTGAAACATCTGAAGAGAAACCAATGCTTCGGTTGGGTGTAGAAACTGGTGGATGTTCTGGCTTCCAGTATGTTTTTGATTTGGATAACAAAACCAACCCAGATGACAGGTCTTTCCCTCTCCAATTTTTTTTTCCATTTTATTTACTGGCTTCCAGTTTCTGATACTTCCCTTTTTTTTTTTTTTTTTAAGTGATTGCAGAGTTTTTGAAAAGGAAGGGGTTAAATTGGTGATTGATAATATTTCCTATGATTTCGTAAAAGGGGCAACCATTGATTACGTTGAGGAGCTGATTCGTTCTGCATTTGTGGTAAGGCACTTTCTCCTGGAGTGTTTGTAGAACATGTTTAGCTGTTTGTTTGTATTGCATTTCATATTTCTGATCCCTACTTTAGTCGAAAAGGTTTTAGTCGGTGAACTGTTTTCTGTTCACCCACTGTTTTTCTGTGAGGCATCGCCTCACCTAAAATTTAATCCCCACTGTTTATTTTAGGTCCAAACACTGCTAATAAGCTCCTCTACTATATACCTTTAGGTCTATGTCGTGTTTGACAGAGAGTAGCTGGTGCAAGTGCTTTTGTGGTTGCTTCAATATCTAGTATGCTGGGTTGGGAAAAAAAGTAATGGTCTGCCTCAGGTTTAAGATTTGGTTTAGTGGAGATGAGGTCACATTCAAATCAGAACTTCTACTTTTAAGCAATTAATTTGCAGTATAGGTTAAGTTCGCATGATTGGTTTAAGTTAGCTGCTGGTCTATTGTGATGATCTCACAGTTTGTTACATAGAATTGGGGTGCCAAAATTATGTTAAAAATTAATCGGATTTGAAAAGAATATTAAATGTTTACTTGTGGTGCATGATATCTGTGCAGATATACTACTAGAGGATTTCTAACCATCAAATTCTGTCTGACCAACAGCCTTGCAGTTGTTTGCTAATTACTACATATAATAGTTCTAAATGTGTGTGACTGATTATTAATTATATCTATGTGCACAGCTTTTGTTGCAAAAGATCTGTTTCCATTCATATTAAGTATGTACACTTCTCAAGTAGTGTTGAGACAGAAAAATCTTCTCCAGTCCAAATGGTCGGCTTTTAAAATTAATCATATCTTGAGAATTGGATATTACCATTTGCTATCCATTTTGTTGATTGACTTATTGAATTAAGCCACCCCATATTATTATAAATATTAATAACATACTAATTGTGTGCTGGATACAGAAATGTACACCTTTATCCTCTGCTTTTTGAATTTTAAGTCTCCGCCATTTATGCACTTCATTGGATAGAGGTTCTGGTGAAATTAAAGAGTCTCATTTCTAGCTTCACTGCATGTTTAGGTGCAAATCATCTCTTAGAAATTGGAAATTGACCATTGGCAAACTGGAGCTGTTTTATTAGTGCCTAAATTTAGGTTGTCAATACTATAACTAGATGAGGATTCAGAGTCCATTTTTGCTATATAAATTTATGGTGCTGCCACACTATAGTGAGCAGCTCTTTGAGTAATCAAATTTACAATCTGTTTCTTCATGCCAGGTTTTTGTTTTTGATCACTCGAAATGTATCATACTTAGATGGTTATGTAACAAGTAATGATGCTTTGCAGGTGAGTACAAATCCAAGTGCTGTGGGTGGATGCAGTTGTAAAAGTTCATTTATGGTGAAACAGTAGTTCTAGTCGGTCGATATCTTGTTCAATCCATAACTTACACTCCCAGAATGGGCCAAGAGGTCATCTAATTTTTGCTATATTGGTCATTGGGTCGAATTTTATAGTTGCTTCTTAAACATTGGGCCAATTCCATGTATTTTTTACTATTTCTGTTTTAAATCGACTAGTATTCTTTTGTATGATATTGCTCATCTATTGGAGCAGAAGCTGGTTATCTATCAATAAAGAACTTTTAATTCGGACACATTCCATCTACATATGGTGATAGATTGATAGTGAATCAGCATTTGCAGGTAAAAATTGTTATTCCAACTTGCAATTTCTCCTAGGCTGTTGACTGGCCTATGGAAATACTGCATAACAGGAGCTGTGAGATCAATTCTGATATTTACACAAGTCCGAAGACTATGGACTGGATAACGTAATGGATTCCCAGCTACTACATGGTTNTCAAAACCAACATCATGCTCAAGATACTTAGCAACTCTATCATCCTTGATTTGGATTTGCTGGAAATGCTCCTCGAACTCATCAACCAATAAACTTTTGCTGCCATGTCTTATGTCTGAAGGAGGCCAGCACACTTAAACTTTTGTTTTAGGTTCTCACCAAGGTGCCTCATATAGAATCTGTGATGTGATTGACGGTAAATAGTGGCAATCCCCTTCTTCATAGAGTTGTGCCTATCAGATATTATGCACAACTCGTCACTGTCAGGCACTATCGTATGTAATTTCTGAAAAAACCAAGTCCACAACTTGTCATTCTCAGAGTCAACCACACACCATGCAACAGGATATGTGTGATTCTCACTATCCTGTGCAGTGTCCGCCAACAATGTACCTCCATACTTTCCCGTCAGAAAACAACCATCAACAGCCAACACCTTTCTCATGTTTACAAAACCCCTTATAGCAAAACCGTAAGCAACAAAAAAAATATTTAAACATTATATTCTTGTCCCACTTCAAAGTCGTCTTGCTACCTTGATTTGTCAACTCAAGCATAAAACGATATGCTTCTAATATTGCGTGCCCGTGCTCTAGCGTGCCCCTCACAAAATCTTGTGCATGTTGTCTCCCTTTCTAGCATTTCCAGTAACTAATAGCACATCCCAACCCTGTGCGCATAAGTCTCTGAATCTCTTTAGGAGATGGACCTTTCCCTTCAAAGAACTAACTTTTGACAAATTGTCCAATAACATCAACGGAGGTTTGTCGATGCTCACCTAAAATATGTCCCAAACCACATGTGTGCTCATGGGTATATGTGCTAAGAATAATTTTTTCCGACTCCACCAACCTTTTACAATAAACCTGCCATTTGCACTTTCGATCACGACATGCAACCGTCACAGTCAATGAATTTGACTTTTTGGTGATGAACTCAAAATTACCTCTCACAACAACAAGTTTTAGCTTCCTCACCACTTCATCTTTGTTGTCAAATAAATACCCTATGCGCAACTCCGATCCATCCGTAAAAACATGAGCTGATTCACTATTACCTACAATTGCCCCCTTTGAACCTACATAAACGGCCAATGTGTTCTCTTCCTCACAAATTACACCTTCGGCATAATATGTATTTAAATGAATCTCTACATCCGCGAAAACATGTATGCGGTCCTCCTCCTCAACATTTTCATTCTGCCCCCTATGGCCAACCTCTTCTAAAGTGTCCTCCTCACCACCCAATTCACCGCCTACTCTTGATTTTTCAACTAACAAATCATTGCGGCCCTCGTAGTTCAAATTAAAACCAGGTAAATCTCCGCCAACTTCCTCGTTATCCCCTTCCTTTGAACCAACTTCCAACGGTTTTTCTACAAAAGAAACCCTTAAAATCGACCTCGAACCATTATCAACTACATCAATCATATATATCTTCACACTTTCATCCGACTTTAATATAGTAGGAGGTACCTTATAATGTTGAGGAACTCTGCTTAAAACATACTTCACAACTATATCACTACGTGAGCAACTCATATCACCTCTTCTAATTATTTCATCAATCAACTCATCAAAACTAACCTCTGTGCTCACAGCAATTGGTATAACTTCTTTGTTCTTCCCAATCCACTTCCAGCTACTTTCTTCCTCCACCCACTCACCAAAATATTCAACACCCAAAACAACTGGTCCCATGTCTCATAATAGCCAACTACCGATAATGCAAGAAAAAAACTATTCTTAACTGATGTACTAGGGTTGAAATATTTTAAAAAGCATATACACAGTCACTTGACAGATCTGGTGTATCGCTTAAGCGATCTGGTATATCGTTATACTGGATCGCTTAAGCGATATCATGGATCGCTTAAGTATAAATAAGCATGATTGCTTAAACGATCTTATGCCATTTACTGATTGCTTAAGCGATTTGCTGCTATACACCAAATTTTTAGCAGATCGCTTAAGCGATCTTATGCCATATACCTGATCGCTTAAGCGATCTATCTGCTGTATTACCAGCGTACTAGATTGCTTAAGCGACACACCAGATCGTTTAAGCAATCCATCATATCCAAAGCACATTTTCAGTCTCTTCGCCTATAATCGGTGCTACCACCCCCAGCTACCCACAATGCAAGACATTCTTCAACAAATTTCACTCCTTTGAACTTCCATTACATCAAACACAACCTAAACAACTAAATCAAAATCATAACCCAAACCCAATCCATCATTAAATCTTTGTAAATCAAAATATAAAATCGAAAGGGGAGATACACATACCTGGACGAAATGTCACGAGGAGGAGGAAGAGGATGACGATGATGACGATCTGTGTTGGAGAAGATGTCAATGGCGAAGGAATGCGTTAATGTCGCAAGAGGAAGAATAAGGTCTTTGAGTTTTTTTGCAAGAATTTCGACTCTTTGGGGACATATTATAATTTTTAAAAGATTACAGAATTATTCATTATTCGTAATTAACCCTAATCAAGTTTAATTAAGCTTAATCAAAAGCATGGCTATTTAGTTAAATTTTACAAACTATATAGCCTTTTAATTAAATTTTAACTCTAAATGGTCTTTTAATAAAATCCCCCGTGGTTATTGATTACTTCATCATAATTTTTGGGCCACTTTGGTGGGCTGTGGGCTCTCTGGGCCAGACTCATAGTCCTCTATCAGGAAAGAAATGGAAAGGGCAAATCAACGGGTATCCTGGTGGCTTATTCCAACCCCTGAAAGATGGTGAAATATTAAACGTAGCCATGCCATGACTTTTGAAAAGTATTATACGAGGGTCAGTTTTTGATACATTTTCATTATAATTTTTTTTTCTTCTTTCTCCCTTGTTCTATTTGCCTAAGTATGATTCATGTTCAGATTTGGGCATTGGCCTTGACCCAACAAACCAGTTGTGGTTTCTTATTTGACTCCTCCAACCCTTTCGCTTCAATTCCAAAACCATTGATCTAAAAATTTACAAATAATTTGTTTCATGACTTGTTTAACAATACCAAAATCACAATAGAAATAAGATTTTAGGAAAAGAAAAAGAATAGAGAAAATTTTAATCACACCAAATATCCCAAAATTGATGTTAAAGATGTTCGCCTTAAAGAGATTATTTAGATTTTGTCAATGTTGAATCATTCTTCTAATCTTTGTGAAGAATGTCACTGAAGAAACGATGAAGATGAAGATAAACGTAAAATCATTTGTTTCCAAAATTATAGTTGGTAACATTGAGGTAAGTAAATTTGAGTTTTTTTAAACTTAGAACCACAATAAATTTATGTATGTGCTTTTAATATGTTCTTATGTGAAATACTAGTATTGATATTGTTGTTTGATATTTTTGAACATGAATAATGAGATTATTTGATGATTTATAAAACTATATGATTGTACAAGAAAGAACAATTGGTCAATCAATGCTTATGTGACTTGTGGAGTTGATCTTCGTTTATAGGTTAGATTTCCATGTATATGTTATGATCCATAGTTCCATACATAATCAAATTATTATGTATATCTTTTGATTATATTTGTTTAGTTTCCTCTCTGTTATGAAAGTCTACTAAGCTATGTGTAAGAATGTAACGAAAGAATGTGATGCAAAATTTGTGTTATGAACTCAATGTTTGTTTTGAAAATTATTTTGACTATCTAATATTGTTGGTGATGGTAAAACCTTTAGTTTACTTACTAAGTTGACACTTGTTAAAGTTTATTATGGTTCTCAATAGGGATGGGCGGATCTGGATACTCGCCCAAATCCCATGGAATCGAAACTAGAATAGGAGTTGGCCTATTCTTGGGATTCGGAATCAGAACCAGAACAGCCTGGATCCGATTCCTAAATGCCTGGAACCGGAACCTAAAACACAGGTTCCGGTTCCAGTTCAAGATACCTAGCACTGTCCATGAATATTACATAAACACCCCTACTACTTACAAAAAATGACAAATATACCATGCATTGTCTACAAAAAATTACAAATACACTCCAACTGTTTACAAAAATTACAAATTTACAAAAATTTCCCAGTGGACAATACCAACTCAAATTCATCTGTAAATCTATCTCATCTCTAAAATAAATCAAAAACTTCAAATCTAATTTAAAGTTCTTCAATCAATATAAAATCCAAACTCGTGTATATCCATCCTTAATCAATCATAAATTCTCTTAAAAATTGCATCTAATTATTACATTAAAATTAAAATCCATTCATAACCGCACTAGTTCTTCATCACTGATTCTCATCAATATTACTTTTGAGCCAAAATGAGTTTAAAAAAAAAAAAAAAAAAAGTGTAAACAAACTTTCGAAAAAATCACAAGCAAATCCTCACAAATATCCAAACAAAATTCCAGAAAAATGACAAAAAAAACCTCCAAATTTCTTGAAACCCTAACCTTAGATCTTCCAATCGTCTACGAAATTCTCACGATTTGATCTAACCCACAAACAGAAAGAGAATAATTTTCACATAAGAATCCCCAAAACTAACAGATCTATGCATCGAAAAGTTCTTCTAGAAATCAAAACCTAGAAACCAAGAGAAATCAAAATTATTTACATAAAACGAATGAACGTGAGAAGAAAAACAACACCCATGAGAAAAACCACTTAATCTACAAGATGATTTCACAAATATGAAAATTATCGAAACCCTAACCCTATAAATTGATTCAAGCCTTGGCCAGAGTTGATACTGAGTCGACAGATATAAGAGAGAAAATCAAATCGGCTATCGGTTCAAAGTATAGAAGAAGCAAACATATCGAATCAAGGGAAAAAAGACGAATAGATAAGATAAGAAAAGGTGGAGGGGGAGATTTAAGAGAAGATATGTGACGGAAGCAAGCAAATGAAAATTATGAAATTGAATTCCTAGTTTATATGAAACATAAAGTTACAAAATAACCCCCATTTTTGCAAAACTTACTCCAGGAACCAGAACCTACAGTGCTGATTC